TACAAACGCGAACAGTGGCACGACAGCCAACACGCACAACACCACACACAACAACGCAACGAAAACCTGAAGATAACAACAACGACAGCAACAACGCAACACCAACACACAACAACCAACGAACGGCTGCGTACACCACACGGCAGCAACACGCAACACCACACACAAACGCGCGCAACAAACCTGCGATACAAACGCAACAATGTGGCACGACAGCAACACGCAACACCACACACAAACAACGCAACGAAACCCTGCGATACACACGGCAGCAACAACGCAAAACCACACACAACGCGCGCAACAAACTTGCGATACACCCCCGACAGCAACACCGCAACACACACACAACGCGCGCAACAAACCTGCGATACAACGCAACAGTGCAACGACAAGCAAACACGCAACACCAACACACAACACGCAACGAACGCGTCTGGCGATACAACACGACAGAACACGCCAACACGCACACACAGACAACGCAACGACTGCGATAGCAACACGGCAGCAACACGCAACACCACACACAACGCGCGCAAAAAACTTGGCGATACAAACCCGACAGGCAACATCAACACCAACACACAAAAACGCAACGAACCTGCCGATTAGCAACCGCGACAGCACCACGCACACACCACACACAACAACTTTCAAACGAACGCTGCGATACACCGCGACAGCAACACGCAAGCACCAACACACGCGCGCACAACAAAACCTGTCGATATCACCACACAGCAACACGCAAGCACCACACACAACGCGCGCAACAAACCTGCGATACAACGGCAACAGTACACGAAGCAACACGCAAACACCCACCCACCAACAACGGCAACGAACCTGCGAATACAACCACGACAGCAACACGCAACACGCACACAAAACAACGCAACAACGAACGAACCTGCGATACAACCACGGCAGCAACACGCAACACGCAACAACACAACGGCGTGCAACAAACCTGCGATAAGCACCCACGCAACATGCACACAGCAGACACACAACACCAACACACAACAGCACGCAACACCTTGCGATTACAAACAGCGCAACAGTACCCGAACAAAACACAACAAAACGCGCGCAGCAAAACCTGCGAACAACAGCGCAACAGTACCCGACAACAACACGATTATACGGCTACGCTTCGTTCCGTTTGATGTAAATCGTTAGTTGTTTTAATCCGGGATATTGCGTGCATGTAGTCGGTAACGTTCGCACGTCGTAGTCGGGTGATGTGAACTGATCTGGGTTGCCTGTTAGCACTTCTGGCCTTTTTACTTTCTGCAGCGTCATGGATATTCTTATATACCCTGGACAACACCACCGGAAATGCAGCCCCTGGGGAGCAAGTCTAACAATTACAAGATTAATTGCTGCCTGTTCTTCAATGCAAGACGACGTATGTGACCTCCCCAGCTGTCGTCCTTACCCTTTCGTATCTTCGTTTCTGCCCTCACAATGATTTTCCTGGTGAATTGCAATGCGGAGTCTCTCTCTCTCTCTCTCTCTCTCTCTCTCTCTCTCTCTCTCTCTCTCCTCTCTCTCTCTCTCTCTCTCTCTCTCTCTCTCTCTCTCTCTCTCTCTCTCTCTCTCTCTCTCTCTCTCTACTCTACTCTCGTCTCTCTCTCTCTCTCTCTCTCTCTCTCTCTCTCTCTCTCTCTCTCTCTCTCTCTCTCTCTCTCTCTCTCTCTCTCTCTCTCTCTCTCTCTCTCTCTCTCTCTCCTCTCTCTCTCTCTCACTCGCGCTCGCTCTCTCTTTCTCTCTCTCCTGCTCTCGCTCGCAATTTCTCTCTCTCTCGCTTTCTCCCACAGTTTCTCATTCTTCTTGTTAGCTTTTATGCGGTCTGTCACAGCACACAGAATTAGGCATGTGTTTGGCAAAACCCGCACACGCTTCTCCTATATGTATCAGCATGTCTGTTATCAGCGGGCTCGTGATAGAGCAGTGCCTCCATCTATCGTGAAAGGCAGGAGTTATAGTATGTTTGACTATGGTTTGCGTATGTTCGTGTCTCTCTCTCTCTCTCTCTCTATATATATATATATATATACATATATAATAACTATAAATGTATAACAAATATTAATACGCATATAATCCACTTTTGCAAACAGACAAGCGCAGAGAGTGTGAACATGTGCAGAGTAAAACACTCGCAATCCACTCGTATAATCGGACATAATATAATTTGCATCGTCCACTCCTAATCGCAGCAGCATAACTGAATGCTGGCACTATCCTGTCCCAGCAGCATAACCTAACACTCGCCTGTAATTTCCTCGTCAACAGGTAAGAACTGCGACTTCCCGGACCACTGCGCGCCGCACCCGTGCCGTAACGGCGGCTCGTGTTTCTCGGACGACTACACGGGAACGTTCCGCTGCCAGTGTTCGCCCGGATTCAAGGGCCGAACGTGCACCGAGGACGTCGACGAGTGCATGGAGCAGCGTCCGTGCAGGAACGGGGGAACATGCACCAACCATGTCGGTCGCTACATGTAAGCACACTGGGGGAGGGGGAGGGGGAGGGGTAGTAGAGGGGTGGGTGAGGGGAGGGGTGGGTGGGGGAGTGCATGGAGCAACGTCCATGCAGGAGCGGAGGCACCTGCACCAACCACAGTGGTCGCTACATGTAAGCACACTGGGGGGAGGTGTAGGAGGGAGTGGTGGTGCTGGTGTAATGTAGAGGCTGGGGTAGTGTGAGGCAGGTGGGGGTTTAGTGGTGCAGGGGATGTGTAGGATGGTGTGGGATGACTCGTGTGGAGTGAGGTGTAGTGCTGGTAGTTATAATTGTGAGTGGTAGTGAGGTTTGAAGTATGACCAGGATCGCTTGTATGATTGCATCACACTGCAGCATAATCCATCTCGTTTCTCGCGTTTCCGATTCTAGTAGTGTTGTCAATCGGTTGTAATTTCGTAATCGATCATCGGTTGGACCCAAGTAACCGATGATCGGTTACAATCGTACTGATCGTACTGCGTACTCCAGATCGCATGCATCATTCCGTCTCTCCCGTCTTCATACCACTGACGTCATTCTACGTTCGTACGTGTGTTTCAGATGTACCTGCCCGCCGGAGTACACGGGGAAGAACTGTGAGAGCAAGTACATCCCCTGCAGTCCGTCGCCGTGCAGGAACTATGGCTCCTGCATCGTCACCGGCCAGCTGTCGCACCAGTGCCGCTGCCTGCCAGGTACGTGAAACAAGAGAACGTGTCCACTGCTCGCGACGGCGCTAAGATCAGGGGGTCGTCCCGTTGTCAGAAGCAAAATTAGTCTTAACTGGAGTTAGTTTAAGCATTAGTCTTAACTTTTTGTGTGTAGATCGGACCTTTCTGCATTGCTTATGAGAAACTAGTAATTTCACCACGTTTCTGTTAATGGTCTATAAGAAAAAATTCATGTTAAGACTAATGTTAGGACTAATTTTGTTTTTGACACGAGCCCCTTGGCATACAGCATTAGTTGCTGGAACGTTGACCCTACAATATCGAACGCGAGCGAATGGACGTTATAACCTTTATTTTAATTTTTACTGATTATATTTGCTTGTCGCTAGGTTTTACGGGACCGAACTGCGAGGTTAACATCAACGATTGTGAACCGAATCGCTGTCAGAATGGAGGGCACTGCGTCGATGGTGTGAACGGATACACGTGCAAGTGTCCTGACACCTTCACCGGTGAGTACCCTGCTCATATATATGTACGTGTATTCTTGTTAAAACGTTCTTCGTCTTTCAGTAGTCTTTCTTTTTCTTCTTCTTTTTCTTCTTTTTCTCCATCTTCTTCTTTACCTTCCTTTTCTTCTTATTCTACTTCTTTTTCTTCTTCTTTG